CCCGTGGCGCGCCGCCGTCTAGGGAGAGCCCGAGAGCGTGCTGTGCTCCTCCAGCAGGAGCACGCTGATGGGTGCCACCCGCGGCGGCGTGCGGTAGAGATTGGTTTTTTGCTCTCCCAGATCGGTGCGATGGTCATGGGGTCGGGGGCGGCCAAGAGGGGGGTGATGACTAGGGGGGGGGGATATCATGGCGGGGGCCATGATATCTCCCAGATTTCATGGCGCCTCTTCTTCTTTCATGGCGTCTCTGGCCACCCCCCGCAGCCGCGCACGTGCCGCCAGCCATGACTTGCGCCCCCCCCTCTTGGACACCCCCCTCTGGGCCGCTCCCGATGATAGGGGGACCGAGAACGGGGGCAAAGGCCAACGGGCGGGAGCCCGTTTTTGTGATTGTCTTGACGGCGTGACGGGCGTTGACCTTGGCATCGCTCGGACGTGTGCATTTGTCCTCGTCGAGAACCATCGGGGACCATCCTGGACCATCGGGCAAAAAAAAACACGCACGACACCGAACAATGCACGGGAAACGGACGTCCGAGCGACGGCAAGTAACCGGGGGGCGGGGTGGGTAGGGTCCAGCGACGTAGGTGCACCCGTGGGGTTTGGGAGCGGTTTGCCACAGCTATGATTGCCAGACGTAAGTCGGGCCTGTCATTCTACAGGGGGAATCTTCCAAAATAGTCAAACAATGGTACGGGGACTATTGTTTGATTATGTGTTGGCCAGTTTGGAGCATTTGTTTTGCGTTTTTTATTTTTCGTCGAAAATCCCCCTGTAGGGGGACACGCCCGACTTAATGCTAGACATTCCGAGACCCGTTGGCGCAGAACGTTCCGTCCCGGGGGGCGGGTGGGGCCCAGCCACGGCCGTGGCGCCGAACAGCGAACACAAAAGCTCCGAGAAGCAGCTTGCCTGGCAGCGGCCGTTGCCGGTTTGGGGAGACGGTCGTTGTCGGGCATCGCGCCCATCTTCTCCGCAAGGCAGGGTGACGATTGAGAAGTTGCCAGGGTTCGTATTCACTCGGGGGTGGACAGACCTCCTACCCCGACACGTCGAGTAAGGAATTGGCCGTTTCCGGTCCGCGAGGGGGCGTCGCGTCCGTCATTTTTGCGGGTCCAGGTCCGTCGGTTTCGGTCCCCGGCCGTTTTCACCAAGGGGAGGTTTACGAAAGGGAGGTTTGTTCACGCGGAGATCACGCAGCGGCACCCTGGAGGGTGATCAGGAAGCCAGCAGCCGGGGCCAGGAGAGTGTGCGTTGGAGCGTTCCCCCCCCCCCCCGCCCTCCTCGGGCGCGCTCCTGGAGAAGGCGACGGGCCAGAAGGAGCCGACGTGAGGCGGAAGCCGAAGCTTCAGAAGCTATGTTGTCAGTCGTTCCCCCATACATAGTTCGGGCCGGACGAAAGGGGGGGATTGGGAAAGGGGGGGGTTACGAAATTTGCTGCATGCAGCTGGTTTCGGCCTCACCGAGGGGCCCATTCCTCGATACATGGCCGCCTCCGGCGCTGGGAGGCGCCGGGAAAATCAGCTACGTGAGCTGATTCTCAACCCCCCACTTTGCTATCCCCCCCTTTCGCCAGACCCGAATAGTGTTTCCATTCGTCATCTTCTGTTACTCTTTGGGGGGCGTGCCACGTACGTCATTATGATGTAACATGTATATGTTCCTGTTGTGTGCCTTCGAGACGTGCACGAACTCAATCTGCACTGCATTGAGTCCGCCAGAAAACCGACACAGGATAAAAACACGGCTCCAGAGAAGTGGTCCAAGCCTCTAGGGAGCCACGATGTTGAAGCAATATCGTCTTCGGATGTCTTGGTTATTGTGAAGGCCTTACGGCCGTTGCCGCCTACCCTGAGGGGGGACGACGAGGACGACGACGACGTCGACGACGAAGGCGGCAGCGGCGACCCCGACGATGACGACGACGACCACGTGGGTCAGAGTCCTCGGGGATGCTTCGGAGCGCTTTCGTGAGCCTCTGGGAGGCAGTTCTGGAGCCTGTTGGAAATCACTTGGGACCCTCTTGGGGGCCTCTTGAGGCTTCTTGGGGGCCATCTTGGAGGTCTCTTGGGCTGTCTTAGGGTGATCCTGGAGGCTTCTAGGGCCGTCTTGGAGTGTCGGGAAGCCGAAAAGAACGCCAACATTTGTCAAACAACATTGAACAATCAATACAGTTTGCCTCGTGGGGCCATCGCGGGAGTGCTATTGGAGGCCTCTTGGGGCGTCTTGGAGGTCTCTTGGACTGGCTGGAGGCTATTTTGAGCGTCTTGAACCGATCGTTCGGCGATTCGGGGGTTATCTCAGACCGTTGCGGGGGCCTCTTATGGCACTCTTGGCCCTGACACTCTTGACTCGTCTTAGAGCAAGGCGGGTCTCCGGGACCCGCGGGGTGGTGATATTCTGACCCCCGACCCCCCTCGGGACACCCCTGGGGACCCCCCCAGGGAGCACCCTCCCGGCAGGGAAGGGATCAAAGGGAAGGAGTTTCCCTTCGACTTGATGACGACGTTCTTGAATTTTCTTGTTTCTGAATTCCCTTGGGGCTAACGACGACGACGACAACTCAAGCGGAAAAGCCTTTCACATACGACGAAGGGTCGATGGATTTCCCGACCATCCTGGCGGACATCGCCCCGCGTCTCCTCTCCTGCCCCCTCCTCTCCTCTTCTCTCCCTCCTCTCCTCTCCTCTCCTCTCCTCTCCTCTCCTCTCCTCTCCTCTCCTCTCCTCTCCTCTCCTCCTCTCCTCTCCTCTCCTCTCCTCTCCTCGCCTCTCCTCTCTTGTTCTCTCCTCTTCTCTCCCCTCCCCTCCCCTTCTCTCCTCTAGTCTCCTCCTCCCCCTCCTTACAGCCCTGCCTCAACCCTCCGCATCTCTTCAGCATGTCCTGAGCATGTCATCACCGTCAGGGAGCTCCACCGAAGGGCCCAGCGGTAAGGCTTGCATGGCGTACCCTCGCCCGATCAAGCACACCCCTCACACTTCGTGCCCACAGGGTGTTCCCTCCAAGGCTCCAGCGGCAGGGTCCGCATGGCGTACCCGCGCCCGATTCGGCACACCCCTCATTGTTTCGTGGCCCCATCCGGAACTCCATCAAAGGCCCCAGCGGCAGGGTCCGCATGATGCACCCGCACTCGATCCAGCGCACGCCACACGTTTTGTGGCCGCATAGGGGTGCTTCATCGAAGGCCCCGGCGGCAGGGTCCACATGCGTACCCGCGCCCGATTCGACACACCCCTCACACGTTTAGTGGCTCCATAGGGAGCTCAACCGAAGAGCCCAGTGGCAGACTCCGCGTGCCCACCCCTCTGATTTTTCGTGGTTCCATAGGGTGCTCCATGGAGGGCCGTAGCGGCAGGGTCCGCAGGGCGTGCCCGCGCCCGACGTGGCACACCTGCCACACGTCTCGTGGCCCTATCCGGAACTCCATCAAATGCCCCAGCGGCAGGGTCCGCATGGTGCACCCGCGCCCGATTCGCCCCCGCCCCCCTCCCACACGCTTCGTGGCCTCATGAAGAGCTCCAGCGAAGGCCCCAATGGCAGGTCTCGTATTGCGAGTCCGCGCGCGATTCGGCACACCCCTCACACGCGTCGTGGCGACATATGGTACTCCATCCGAGGGCCCAGCGGTAGGGTCCGCATGGCGCACCCGCGCCCGATTCGGCGCACCCCTCACACGCTTCCTGGAGCCGTAGGCAGCTCCACCGAAGGCCCGAACTACAGGGACCGTATGGCGCGCTCACCCGATTCGGCACGATCTCCTCACCCACAGGGAACTCCACCAATCGCCCCAGCGGTAGGGTCCGTAGGATGTACCCGCGCCCGGATCGGCCTACCCCTCACACGTTTCGTGGCCCCAGTGTGAGCTCCACCGAAGGGCCCATCGGTAGGGTCCGCATGGCGCGCCCGCGCCCGATCCGGCATCTTTCTCATATGTTCCGTGGCCCCACATGGCCCCATAGGGTACTCCACCGAAGGCCCCAACAGCAGCGGAACCCGCTTCGGCACCCACCCCACAAGTTTCGTGGCCCCATGCGTCGGAGGTGGACAGACCTCCTACCCTGACACGTCGATTAAGGAATTGGCCGTTTGCGGTTTGCGAGAGGGCGTCGCGGCCGTCATTTTTGCGCGTCCAGGTCCGTCGATTTCAGCCCTAGGTCGTTTTCACTAAGGGGAGGTTTACTAAACGGAGGTTTGTCCACCGCCGAATGCGGAACTCCATCGAAGGGTCCAGCGGTAGGGTCCGCATGGTGCACCCGCCCCAGATTCGGCACACGCCTCACACGTCTCGTGCCCCCATAGGGCAGCTCAACCACAAGGCCTAGGGTAGGGGCATCTTGAACGCCGCAGTCGTGTTGCTGCGCCCCCTCCATCTCACCTGCTTGCAGTATCGTTCTACCGACCCCCATCCCCATCCCCATCCCCATCCCGTTCGAGACCCCCACCAAATTACCCTCCCAGTCGGGGATGCACCCCTTGAAACCCGAAGGGAACGACCTAAATCCCCATCCAGGGGGGCAACTCGGCCAGTGGGGCCCAGGCCACGCCGCTGGGGATGGGGATCGGTTAACCGATACTCGTGTTCCGCGATACTCGAAGCCGCATGTAGTTGAGCCTTTCGCCAGGATGAGTTTGTTGTTCGCCCTTGTTGGGCTCTCGGAGGGCGCCCTGGTCGCCTCGGTCGGATCCTCGGTCAGGACGCGCTCCGAGGACGGTCCGCGGAGCAGAGTTTTCGGTATGTGATCGACTGTTCATTCCTTGGTTTGCCGATCGGCGCGAGCCCCCCAAACCCCCCCTCCCCCCGCCCATGGAGTGGACCTTGGCTGTTTTCTGGCGCCCGTTGCGAGCGGGTCGAGTCTCCCCCAGAGGCCGCACTCCTGCAGGCAGTCGCACTGAGCAGAGGTCCGGAGCCAGACCCCCCCCCCATTGCCCCCCCCGCCCTTCCGCCAAACGTCGTGACGCCGAATTGAAAGCAGCGTTCCCTGTGGGCCCGCTCCCGCCAGGCTCCTCCTGCGCGGCACGGGGCACCGCAGCGGCGGCCGGATCGCCGTGCAGTGTGTTGTTCCGCTCGCTGGCGGCCGCGCGGCAGCAGGCTGTGCGGCGGGGGGTCCAACGAGTTTTCGTAGCTGGGGAAGCCCAGAGGTACTCCAGATCTCGTAATAAAAGGGAGGGGGTCTGGACCCTCCAAGACAAGCCATTTCAGACCCCCCCCCCCGTGGGAGAACCCTCCAAAACATCGTCCCCAGACCCCCCCAGGCCCTCCAAGATAGCCTGGAAGAGACCCCCCCCGAAATGAGACCCCCCTCCCTTTATTTCGAAATCTGGAGTACCGATACTGCTACTCCCAGGCACTCTCCCGGGGCGCGTTCTGACCAGCATTTAAGGCGAATCCAGCGATGGCGACGAGGGCCTCCCAGGAGGCCCCGAAAGTGGAAGAACTAGGGAGAGGGGGTCGCAGTATGGGTACCTTTCCCAGCTCCTCTGAAGTCCCCCTCCTCCAACTCTTTCCGCCGCCTTTTCGCCGCCTCCCTCCAAAACGAGGGCCGAGGAAAGGGTAGTGAAAGTAGATTTTTCTGGAGTCCCAGATTCCAATAAGCGCCTTCCTACTTCGATGATCGAGTGGCTTCACCTTCTCCGTCCTATCTAGGGGGGCGGACGGGACCAAAATCTACGTTCGACGCCTTCCTACTTCATGTTCCTCCCTGCTTCTTCCGACCGATGGGCATCGGTGCCTACTCCTCTTCGTAGAGTCAACCCGCATAGTAAGGATGGGCAATCTTCCCAAGGGTACCCTTACATCCTTGCCTCCTCGGCCCATCCTTGGCCACTTTCGTTGGCCGCGCCCCGCTCGAAAAGCTTCGAAATGGGCGTCCAAGGCCCTTGCATCCCTATCGCGCATCCTTATTATGCGGGTTGACTCTACAGTGCCGTTTTTAATACATGCTCCGCGTGCGGACCACGTATTCAAAGTAAAGGGTTGATTAATAGATACAAGGATGAGTTCATGCATAAATTCGTTCATGAATTGATCATGTATTGACAATCCTATGTTTAACAAAATCCTATCTATTAAAACCTGCCCTGTATCGCCGATCCCTGTACGGCGAAGCCCCCTGCCTTCCCGGAGGCCGCCCCGTTCGCCTCGCCCCCCCCCCCCCCACCCGGGGGGCGCCGCGGAGGCCGAGGGCTGGGGCGGTCCCCGCCCCTTCCGGATCGTCGGGGGGGGGGGGGCCAGGCCTCGGTCGTGGCCGTGCCCAGTCCTGGGCGCAGGATCGGTGCGCGTGCGTGTGTGTGTGTGTTGTGTAGTGTAGTGTAGTGTAGTGTTGTGTTGTGTTGTGTTGTGTTGTGTTGTGTTGTGTTGTGTTGTGTTGTGTGTGTGTGTTGTGTTGTGTAGTGTAGTGTTGTGTCGTGTTGTGTTGTGTTGTGTGTTGTGTTGTGTTGTGTGTTGTGTGTTGTGCTGTGCTGTGCTGTGTTGTGTGTGTTGCGTTGTGTGTGTTGCGTTGTGCCTGTGCCTGTGCCTGTGTCTGTGTCTGTGTCTGTGTCTGTGGTTGTGTCGTGTCGTGTCGTGTCGTGTCGTGTTGTGCGGGGTCGGAGGATCGCGCCGCGCCGCCGATGCGTCGCCGATGCGGCTTCGATGCGGAGCCCGATTTGCTTCACGCCGACATTGCCGATGCACGGCCAGCGCCGCCGGTGCATCGCCAATACATCACTGGCGATGCCATGCGCACAAGCCTGCCGATTTCCGCCGATTCGACTTTTTTCGACTCGGCTGCCGATTCCCGCCGATCTGATTCGCGTCGATCGCCGATGCGACTTCTCGATGCGAGCTTGGGCTCTCCGGCCCCTCCGCGGCCGCCCCGCTCCGGAGCCTCCCCCCCTGCTCTGCATGCGGGGGCGCTTCGCAGCGCCGCGGCCTGGGGATTGCTCGACGCGCGAGCGTGTCACCTCTGCCGCGCCGCCACTGAACAATCGATCCCTGTGTGTGTGTGTGTGTCAAGCAGTGGCGAAGCGTCCTGGCTCGCCCATGGCCCCACCAAACACTGCTCGCAGAACCGAGTGTGGCTCCCACGAAAAATTCGTAGAACACTTCTGGCAGGGATGGTTTTGTTTTAACACATCGGGTTTATGTTCTAAGAAAATTTGCTTTTGTTCTTAGAACATGTTTTGGTTCTAGGAACATGTCGTGGTAGGACTTAGGAATGCCGGGACGGTCGGTCCCTGCTCAAGTTTGTGTGTGTTTGTGTTGCCACCGTGAACCCCGAAGATCGGCTTCTTGCAGTCTGGATGTGCAGCGTGGTGCACGCTGCATGGTGCGCCGCAAACCATGCAGCGTGCAAGCTGCAGTGGTGCAAGCTGTGCGCTGCAAGATGCGTTGTGTGCGTGCCAGGTGGTACAAGCCAGCGCACGGCGTGCCCACGCGGCGCCAACGGCCAGGCATTGGCATCCACACTGTTTTCGACCGGCTTGAGATACGTCTCGGCTCCGCTGGTTCGAGGATCCGGGTGGGGGCCGATGCCTGCGAGGCGTCGTTGTGCACCCCGTCGCGGCCGATCCGATCAGATTTGAGTCCCAGATTTGGACATGTGGGCAGGCAAGCGCCGTTGGGCGAGCGCGTGCGTGGAAATAGCGTCCGGGTCCAGCCCTGGGTGCGTAGAATCCGATCCTGGGCTCGGGTGTCCCAGCCAGGGCCGTTGCAGGTGTACAGCGCAGTTGGTGCCCTCCTACAGTTGGCACATCCAGTGCGAAGCCAGCTTGCCAGCAGGTACCTCACAGCCATTGAGAATGCTTTGTCTCCGACGGCCCCGGGACCCACCGAAGCTCTGTGGCACCATGGGGCCCTCAAAGATCGACGAAGCACATGACCCGCGGTCTCTTGTCGTGAGACACCTTCCCGCCTGCGTCTGCCGCGCCCTCGGAGAGCGTCGACGACGTCCACGCCCCCGGCACGCCGCCAATATCCAGGAGGAAAAGAAACCCACAGACACAATTAATCCTCGATGCCCCAGACAATCTTGGAGAGTATGGGAAGTGGGGGGGAAGACAGAACCCCAGAAATGGGGAATACTTTAATTTGCGTGTATTGCTTCGTGTGTCCTGGGGCCCCTTCGAATCTCTGGGCCCTCGCTGCCCCGTCCTCGCCTCCCCCCCCCGAGCCCCCGGGACCCTCGGCCCTCCCGCGGCCGCCCCGCCGCGTCTCCCTCCTGCGCGTCGTCGCCGTCCTCCTCGCCGGCTGGTGCTCCATCTCGGAGTGCTGAGGTGTGACGATGGTGCAATGTTCGGGGGCGAAGAAGAGGGGGGTGGACAGAACCCCCAACAGTGACACGTCGATTAGTGAATTGTCCGTTTTCGGTTCTCGAGAGGGCGCCGCGGCCGTTATTTTCCAGGCTTGCGCCCGCCAGGTTTGGGCCTCGGGTCGTTTTCACTAAACCACGTTTTACTAAAGGGGGGTCTGTCCATGGGGGTGATGACTAAGGGGGGGGGGATATCATGGCGGGGGTCATGCTATTTCCCCTGATTTCATGGCGCCTCTTCTTGTTTCGTGGTGCTGTTGCTCATCGCCCCCTCGGGCGATGAGCAGCGGCACGACGGGGGGGCGTCTGCTCCGTCTGGGTCCGTCGCGGCCCTCGCCAGGCCCCAGGGCCTCCAGAGCACGAGCCAGGGCGGGAAGCTGGCCCCGGGGAGTGGGTCCAGAGATTCTGGAGGGCCACGTCGCCCACAAAGAAGACGACGCCCGGGGGTCTGGGGTGTCATCGCGCGCACTGGTTCCACTTCTCCGGAGACGGTGGCACATCCCAGGGCGCAGCCACTATTCTGAGGCATTGGGTTGGCGGTTGACGCAGGCATCCTTCTTCATCCCGTTCGCTCGTTCGTTCGGTCGATCTTCCCTCATCCCTCGGTCACCATCTTTCTGCCTCGCATCTTGTGTGAGGAAGGAAAATACTGGGGCCTAATTTCATGGGTCGCAGCATCCTGCTGCAAACAAGCTTTTGATTTAATTGAGTGCAAGAACATGTGGGCAGCATTGGAGGCATTGATTTCCCAACCAGGATACCCCACTACCCTTTCAGCTCTGAGAGGGACAGAAAGTCAAAGTGAGGACAGCCGTCAGCAGCAGACCCTTCAGCCTTCACGACCTCCTCCGCGCTCACCAACTTGCGCTTCGCCGACGAAGTGTTGCTGAGCAGCCAAATTCTCCTGCGTCCGACGAATGAACATGATTGACGACATTGCGCGCGCAGCACAGCCACGCGGGCTCGAACTAAGCCCGAGCAAAGCCAGACTGCGAAGCAACCGGACGAGACAGACCAGGAGGGCGAGCTCACGCATAGCGCGCGTCCAACACATGCATGTCATAAACTTTCCACACGAGGACAGGCTCACGTACCTCGGTCGACGGAACAGTTTCCACGACCCGATGGAGGTGAACATGCACCACCGCACGGCATTTGCATGGGCATTTTTTTCACATCTCACAACAAAAGCGAACCAGCAGAGACTATCCTCTGGCGCACGCCGCCTACTCAACTCCAAAGTAATCTCGACAACACTACACGGAGCAGGTACGTGACCGCTCGCGGAGCCCCTGTGGCAGCACGACGGGCGCATCTGCGCACGGCTCGTATGATGATCCAGACACCGCGACGACGCACGACGATGCCTCCGAATCACCAGACAGCGATCACCGTAGCAACAGCACCATCGACGATGCGGACAGCGACCCGCCTTAGCGCGACGTTCCCGCCACGCCTGACCAGCACAGCGCTGGTGTCGAAGGCAACGCCAAGTTAGGCCCGATAGGGCATAGGGTAGAAATCATTCGGTGTGCCAAGCGACGCCAACGACGTCTCATGAGGCACCACCGTGTCGACAGTTTGGTGATGTTGCGGAAAACCCACAAAAACGCAAAACCACGATTGCCAATATGGACATTGCGAGCTCAGCAGTGCCAGCCGTACGTCAATTCACGCTCGCGCGGCCAGACACAGCAGGTTGGCCAACACGAACGTTGAGGCAACGCAACACCTACTTATGTCAAGGCAGCACACGCCTCCACCGACCGCCAGCATCTACCCATCTACGTGGGGCAAGCAGCCCACTACATTGTCACGTGAACGGCGCTCGAGCACCACTACACCGGCCCCACGCGAGCAAATCCGAGAATGTTAGCGACCGCCGAGACGACGCATCTAGTTTGCGCGCACACGGGCTCCAGTGAATTCCACTTCCTTCTCCTCCTCCTCTCGGGGGTGGACAGACCTCCTACCCTGACACGTCGACTGAGGAATTGGCCGTTTTCGCTTCGCGAGAATGCGTCGCGGTCGTCATTTTTGTGAGTCCAGGTCCGTCGGTTTCGGTCCCAGGCCGTTTTCACTTCGGGGAGGTCTACTAAAGGGAGGTTTGTCTACCGCCCATCCTCCACCTAATCCCGTTCAATTCGTCCGTTAATGTGTAAGTATCGCGTTGCATGTGCCCAGGCAGGCCTCGCCCACCTGGTCTAAGATAGGCCCAGACGGCTGTCCGCAGGGCAGTATCCCTCCTGCCCCTGCTCCCGGAGCTCTCGGCCATGCTCAGCCAGCCCCGCCCTCCCCACCTTCAGAGCTCCAAGTAGCAGCTCCCCCGTGCGGAGATACGCTTGAGACCTCGATCAGGATCTAGATTCGAAGGACCTACAGGGAGTTCAAAACAACTAGGACAGCACGCCCGGGCTCAGTCTCGCGGGCCTAGTCTAAAACCATATTTTTAAAAGTTCGCTTCGGAGCTGCGATCTCTACGCGACCACCTAGAATGTTTACATCCTGGCTGTTAGATTTCCTTCTTTTCTCAACCTCCCTGCAGGCCAGGAGGAGGAGGAGGAGGAGGAGGAGGAGGAGGAGGAGGAGGAGGAGCGAGGAGGGGGAGGAGGAGCGAGGAGGAGGAGGAGGAGGAGGAGGAGGAGGAGGAGGAGGAGGAGGAGCCCCCCCCCCCGCAAGGCCAGGGTCGGTGCCCCGCCCTTGGCTGCGCGCCTCCCGGCGGTGCCCTTCGCGGCCGCTGGCGCTGTCCAGACCCGCGCGTTCGGCGGCTGGGGCAGCAGGACGGTGCCGCCGCCTCCGTCCCCGTCGTCGCCGCCGCAGTCTCGGAGGTGGTCAGGAGGGAAAAAAACACACAGACACAATTAATCGTCGATTCCCCAGGAAATATGCGAAAATATGGGAAGTGGGGGGGAAGACAAAAACCCAGAAAATATAGGTAAATATGGGCCATATTTTTATTTGTGTGTATTTATTTGTGTGTTCTGGGGCCCCTTGAGGTGGACGGACCCCCTACCCTGACACCCTGATTGAGGAATTGGCCGTTTCCGGTTCGCGAGAGGGCGTCGCGGCCGTCACTTTTTGCGGGTCCGGGTCCGACGGTTTCGGTCTTAGGCCGCTTCTCACTGAGGGGAGGTCTACGAAAGGGAGGGGTGTCCACCGCCGATAGTCGCTGCTGCCGTCGCCACTGCCGTCGCCGCCGCCGTCGCCTCTGGAGTCTGTTGAATGCCATGAGGTGCTTGCAGGGGCTATCGTTAGGGGGGGGTAGGTATCCTAGCCATGCCGCGTCAGGGGCTCCAGTAAGCGGGGTCCATGACTCTTCCGCGGTTCCTCATCATCCTCCCCCTCCTCCTGCATGTCCTAGTATGTTCCCTCCCCTTCCTCCTGCCCTCCCTTGCCTCCTGTGATTGTTGTGGAACGTGGCCCCACAGATGCCTGGACCCCTTCCGAGGGCCGGCCTTTCATCCTTTCATCCTAATGTTTTCTCGCGGTCACGAGGCCCGGCGAGGGCCTAAAGAGGGCAACAATTGCAGAATGATGTGTTCCACGACGCGAGCATGTCAGGGTCTACGCCGCTCGCCATCGGCATTACCCAAACATGCGTATAGTAGTATGAGTGCGTCGGCGCCCAGGGTCGACGCGGGCGCGCTCAGAACATCGCAAAGTGAATGCTCGGCGGGGCGTGCTTTTTGGCCAGATTGCTTGGGTATCAATCGGTCGTTGAAACCACGTATTGTTGGGTTTCCAGTTCCCAGTCTACCTTCGTCGCCTTTCTGATTCAAGTCAAGAGTCGAGTGGGTTTCCCACTTCCCTCTTCAGGAGGCGGGCGGAAACCCAATCTACTTCCAACGCCTTCCTTCTTCATGGGTCTACCTACGTCTTCCGACCAATGGGTATTGACAAATTCTAGACGTTTCGCGTAATTCACACGGGGTTATCGACCTCTGCGTGTTCATGGTCGCGCCGCCGCGCCATTTTGGCTGCGCCTACTTGATGGTCGCCACTGTGGTCTCGACGCAACCGAGTTGGGAGTGGTGTTTCTGGCCCTTCTTCTTCTGAGTGGCTGCTCGCGCGCTCACTTTGCTTGCCTCTCTGGTCTTGCTGCCTAGTCGCGGCCCGGCTAGTGTTCGGACGGTTTTCGACCTACTTCGCGAGCCCGCGGACCAAAAAGTAACCCCACCAGCCCAGCCAGAAGCGATGCCAAGAGGAATTGCCTCGATCAGGGGAGTGGCAGCACACAGAGGACGGGTCCCCCAGTGGAGGCCTGTGTGAGCGTCTTGGGGGCCTTCTGTCGGTCCCTGACGCCTCTTAGGTCGTCTTGGGTGCCTCGAAGAGTTGCTTGGGGCAGTTTGGAAGTCTTTTTGGAGCCTCATGGAGGCCTGTTGGGCGCCTGTTGGGGCCTCCTGGGGCCTCCTGGGCGCCTCTTGGGGCCCTCTTGAAGCGCTCTTGGAAACCTTGGGGGCACTCTCGGAACCCTCTTGGGCCATCTTGGATCCATCTTGAGTCCTCGGATGGCCATCAGCACCAACCAGGCGAGGCCAACAACACTACATTCCCTAAGGTTTGGAAAAAAGGTTTTTGTATCTGCGGGGCATCCTGGGGGAGCTCTTTGGCCACTTGGAGCCGTCTTGGAGCGGTCTCCGGGCCTCTTGGAGCATCGTGGGGGCCATCTTGAAGCATCTTGGAATATCGTGAGCCATATTGGCGGTCATCTTGGGCTCTCCAAGGCATTCTTGGGGTCAGATTAAGCAGTGCCCCCCTTCAGGAGGCGAAAGTGTAGCCAAAACCTAAGTAAAATCAGTGAGTTTGGCATTGTCGCCGAGGCCTCTTGGAGCGTCTTGGGTGCCTCTGGGGGGCCTCGTGTGGGTCTCTCGGGAGCCTCGGCCTCTTGGGAGCCTCTTGGGGCCTCTTGGCCACCTCTTGGGCCCCTCTTGGGGCACCCTTGGGAGCCTTGGGAGCGTTCGTGGGGCCATTTCGGAGGAGATCGATCAGTGAAGGGGGTCAGAATTAGCCCTGCCCCCGAAAAGGCCAAAATGGGGCCAACAACCTGGTAAAAACAATGATTTTGGTTTCCTCGCCGATGCCGTTTTGGACGTTTTGACCGCTCGCGGAACCTCCCGTCCAGGTCCACGGGATGGGGGTAGGGGGAGGGGTCAAGAATGCCTCCCCGCCCGCAAACCGTCTCGCTCACTCCCACCCGCCTTCCCAACACATGCGTATCACCCGGATCTGGCCCGAGCCCCAGCATATTCAGCAGTCGTCTATGGATGGGCAGCTACTGGGGGCCAAACCGCCGCCGCACCCGCACCCGCACCCGCACCCGCCGCCGCACTCGCCGCCGCACCCGCCGCCGCACCCGCCGCGCCGCCGCCGCCGCCGCTCCCGTCGACGCCTCCGCCGCCGCGCCGCCCGCCGCCGCCGCCGCCGCCGCCGCCCCCGCTGCCAAATCACCCCCGCTGCCAAATCGCCGCAGCCGCAGCCGCTGTAGCCGACGCCGTTGCCGCCACCGCCGCCGCGGCCACCGCCGCCGCCGCCGCCGCAGCCGCAGCCGCCGCAGCCGCCGCCGCCCCCGCCGCCGCCGCCGCCGTCGCCGCCGTGGCCGCCGCAACCGCCGCCGCCGCCGCCACCGCCAAGTGTATTCGGTACTGTTTTTTTGATGGCGCACGGCGCGCGCGTTGTGCAGAGGCACGAATGCCACGGGGGGGGCCCGCCTCGAGTGCACTGCGCGGCGCCTTCGACGCGGTCACGCGCACGCGCCGCGCTGGGAGACGGAGGGCCGTGCCGCGAGAAGTGCGGCGCCTCCGTCGGGCACGCGGGGCGTGGGGCCCACCCGTGCGGCGCGCGGCGCAGGGGGTGCCGTTGCTCTTGAGGGCGCCTTTGTTCGTTTGCTTGGCCGCCGTATGGTGTTTGGCTTTCGCCGCCCCGCCTCCCCTCGCGGTCTGTTCCGTTCGTGTGGTCGTCGGTCGCCTCGGCGTCGGTCCCCGTGTCGCGCCCGCGTTGTCCTGGCCCCGTCTTGCGTTTGGGCTCTGTGTCTCGGGCGTGCTTCGGTCCTGGGCTTTCGGTCTCGCGCCCGCGCGTCTCGGTGTCTCCGTCGGCTTCGCCCTGCCGGTCTGTTCTGGTCTGCTCCGTCCGTCGGCCGCGGCTCTCGTTGCTCGTCGCCCTGCCGCCGCCGCCGTCTCTGCCTCTGGCTTTGCGTTTTTCTTGTCTCCGGCTTCGCGTTCTTGCTGCCGCGCTGTCGGTCGTTCGGGCCCTCGGTCGCCTGCTCTCCCTCGGGCCCTCCGTCCCCGTCCTCGCGCCCCCTCGGCTCGGTCCCCGCGCCCTGGGCTCTCTCCGGTTCGCCCCCACGCGCGGTCCGGATCGCTCGCTGTCTCGCTCGGCGTCGCCGCCGTCGCTCGCGCCGCCGCCGCCGCTGTTTCCCGTTGCGTGTGGCCGTCTGCTGTTTTCGCTCGGCGCCGCCGCCGCCGCCGCCGCCCGGGCCGCGTCCGCCGCTGTCCGTTCGCGGTCGGTTCCGCTCGCCGTCTCGCTCGGCGTCGCCGCCGTCGCTCGGGCCGCCGCCGCCGCTGTTCGGCCGCCGCTTCTTTTTTCTTCGTGCGTCTGCACGACGTGCTTCGCCCGTGCGTTGCACCCTTCGCGCTGCTGCGGCGCGCGCGCCCGTGCGGCTTCGCGCGCGCGGCGTGCCCGCGGTGCTCCCGCGCGCGCGCGAACGACCCGCGCGCTTACGACGCGCCGGTGCCGCGCGCGCGCCCGTGCGGCACCGCGTGCGTGAAGCGTCCGCGCGTTCGCGACGTGTGCGCCAGTGCAGCACCGTCACGCAGCGACGCGCCGGCCCCGCGCGTGCGCCCGCGCAGCACCGCGTAGAGGTGGCAATGTGCCAGCGCGCCAACGACGCGCCGGCCCCCGCGTGCGCGCCCGTGCAGCACCGCGTACACGTGTAGCATGCGCGATCATGACGTGCGTGCAGAGGCAGCACCGTGTGCGCGCGCGTTGCGACGCGCCGTTCCCGCGTGTTCGGCTGCGCAGCACCGCGTGCAAGAAGCGTCCGCGCGATCATGACGTGTGCGCCAGTGCTGCACCGTCACGAAGCGACGCACCGGCCCCGCGCGTGCGCCCGCGCAGCACCGCGTAGAGGTGGCAAAGTGCCAGTGCGCTAACGACGCGCCGGCCCCGCGCGTGCGCCCGTGCAGCACCGCGTACAAGAGGCGTCCGCGCATTCATGTCGTGCGGGCGAATGCAGCACCGCGTGCGCGCGCGTCGCGACGCGCCGTTCCCGCGCGTGCGCCAGCGCAGCACCGCGCACAAGAGGCGCCCGCGCGACCATGACGCGTGCGCCAGCACAGCGCCGTCGCACCGCGACGCGCCAGCCCCGCGCGCGCGCCCGCGCAGCACCGCGTAGAGGAAGCGCCCGCGCGCCAACGGCGCGCGCACCAGCGCATCACCGTGGGCGCGCGCACCGCGGTGTGCAGCTATCGCGCGTGCGCTGGTGCAGCTCCGCGCGCAAGTAACGCCCGCGCGTCCAGGACGCGTGCGCCTGCGCAGCACCGCGCGCGCGCACGTGCCGCGTCGCGCCGTTCTCGCGCGCGCGCCCGCGCAGCGCCGCGTGCGCTACACGCTCGCGCAGTCGTTGATTGTGCTTCGCCGCGCCGCGCAGCGCGAGCAGTTTTCTCAGCCGCGCGCGCAGAAGAACCGCCGCGGGCATGGCGACCCTTGCGGGCATTCTGCTCGATTGCGCGTCTTTCTTGCCCGAGGCGGGGCGCCGTGAGGAGATCGCGAAGGTCGCCAACGA